AAGCGCATCGCGTGCAGGTTGGGCGCATCGTCGTTTCCGCGTGTGCGACGATGACGACTGGAATGGATCCGAGATAACCTTCTCGTGATGCATGCCATTGGCGGAACGGTGCAGCGCGAGAAATGGCAGCCAGAAATTGCTTCTCTGGCAGTATCATGGTGCCCATTTATTGGAAAAATTTTCGCTACGTGTGTGTCCTCGGAACGCGACGAATTTCTCACCGAATGTCTTTCATCTATTCGATTTTTATTGCGATATTGATTTCTCCGACAGGATACATAGTTAACAACTACCGTCTTATGATCGTTTTCGAAGGCTTTCCTCTTTAATATTGATGTTTCACATAAAACTGTACACCATAAACTTTTGTTATTGGTAACAGACAGATTTGTATTTGAGCTTCGAAGAAGAATTGTAGATAGCAGAAATTTAATATATGAAATAACAAGGCAATTGAAAGCTAATTTTTGATCGTCTAAAATCACATGAGAACTAATTTTCGATTAAAGAACAACTTTCGAAAATTAATGTTTGAACAGGAACTAGTTCTTTAACGATACTGCTTTTGAAACAAGAATTGCTAGGGACAGATGAATATATAATATATTTTATAGAAGAATTGAAATCTTTAGGACGAGAAAGAAATATTGGCAAAGTTTGGGGACGAATCGATTCTCAGTAACTTATATATAAGGCACCGTGGTCAACGTCGGCGACGAAATTGGAAACGGACCAAAGAAACGTCACATTTTCGCAGAACACTGATTGGTCTTCGCAAATTGCTTCCCCAACATTTCTATGTTCCATTTATTAAAAAATTCGATTGTCTACCAGTTGCTCTGTTCGAAGTTATTAAAATAATTTAATTAATTCCTCTGTTGGTTCTCGTTTTGTTTAACAAATATAAATTTTATAAATGTTGTATACCATGAATTAAAAATCGAAGGAATAATCAAACAATACGTATATTAGCTCTTTGCATTTTAATGATAAATTTCATATTTTATTTTCGTTAAATTTTTTCAATTTCAAATGTCAGGTAGAGTTCCTGAAATGACTCGTCTTATTGACGTTCTTTTTTAAATAGGACGCATGACTGCCTATAGTCTTTTCTTACAATTGAATCAGAAATCAGTGCAATAAAATTTCTTTAGAGTTGCTTATCGGAAAGCAGACTTTCAACAGTTTCCTGTTTCGAAGAACAAGAGTCCGTCTTCTCTCGGAATGGAGCAAAAGGACAAGTGTTTGTTACACATAGAAGTGTACGTAACAGCGCAGCGTCCCAATCTTCAAGAAGCTACAGTTTAAATTTTCTTCGAGCTTCCTCGTTGCTTAGTCCCCCATTGGGAAAGGTGGATTATTACTTAACCTTAGCATAGGTAATCGTTTGCATTCAACGAGTTTACGCAAACACTCCGTAGCTCAACATTAATTATTTAGTTTATTATTTGCGTTGAAGTAAGGATGAAAACTACGAATTCGTTCTCGCGATAAAGTATTCTTACTTCGTAAATCCTCTTTTTTATTTTGTTCTTCATTAGCCATACTTCTAACGCCACGGTCGTGTAGGTTGAATATACGGGTAACTTTATCCGAGCTAAAATAGTGGACAAGCGGGATTAGGAAAACTTGCACAGGTTTCGAGATTTCCTCCAATCTACTTTTCCTTATAATTTCTTGTAATAAAAAGTAATAATCTGGTTTATTAAAGTATAGAACCTTGTTTATAAAATTATTTTCAATATATTAAATTTCGTTCAAACGAAATTAACTTCCATTTCCTCTTTAAAGAGACGAAGTTTAAATAAATTCGCTCGAATTATTAATTCTGTGTGAACCGTTTAATTCGTTATTATTAGATAAATATTATATACGAATATTCTAAATTATTACATCTTCAATTTAGTTTCTAATAATAAATGGTGAGACACATCAACGTTTGATTTCCCACTTGGAAAATACAAACCTCAGAAACAAACGATGTATCTAACTTAATAAATATAATTGATGATGATTCTTTGTTTTCTTACGTATATGCAGTTTCCCAGCAAAGTTCTCGCATTAACACCTCATGAAAAAACGTCATGAATGCGAGAAATAATCGACATCGATTTCTATGAGTATCCCCAAACGTGCTCTGGATAATTATTGCTCGGTCCTGTTATCTGTTACAAGCTGCCACATTGAACGATAATAAGTGTGTGGGCGGAAAAATTTCGAGATAATGCGTGCGTACGTACATATTTATCTGACGGTACCTTAACAACCGATTATCGTTATTAACCTCTGCTGTTATTGGCAGCTATTAGGTCCCCGAGGATCATTTTTGGCTCCTCTTTCCATGCATTCGCGATTCGTTCGGTTGATCAATTGCACGATAATTGGTCTCTATGTTTAATCTTTTATGAGCCTTGCAATTTTGAAATGTATAAAGCTTTCATACGAATGCATTCACTTCGTTTAGTATAATTTTCGTTGAAAAAAAAAAACTAAAATTCACCGAATGAACATCGGTATACGAAACTTTGCTAATTATTTCGCTTCAATTTCAGTTGTGAATAATTCTAATAAGCATTTGGAATTGATTAATTGCCTGTTTGCGATGCAACGCGAAGTAATTACTTCCACACGCGGGTTTCCGTGATGACGTAAACGACGCGTGAATTCGAAGTTTCCATGAGGCAAGCCACCGTGGGCTACAAAGGGAGCGTTTATGATATGCTTGGACTTTAATGGAGAACTTGCGAAAGGCAAATATCGGTCCCTCCGGCGAACGATCTGATAACAAGCGGAACTGTCCGCTCTGAGTTTCATGTCAATTTTATTCTGGTTGCATAAACCAAAGATGCAAAATTTTTAATTTAACTGCCAGGGTACTGTTGGTAGGATTGTGAAATAGTATAAAATTACTAATACGAATTAGAGGTGCAAGAGTAGATTGAGGAAGTTGAAGATCTAGACTGTTGTTAAAGCTTTAGAAGGATTTTCTGTTGATAAAATTCTTGAAATTGATAATTCTTTCATTCTTGTTTAAATGCTTGAGTGTCTGACTTTCTTTCGAGTATTCTCGTTTCTTATAAAGAGAACCGATGTACATATACAAACTACTATTTAATATTCACGAGTGAACACTATCACTCTAAACGACTTGCTCGCTTTTAAGATTACTCTCGGGATGAAACGGCAGCCGGTGACCGGTTAATTTCGGCACGCAACTTCGTTTAGCCTTGTATCAAAATTCTCTCCCTCTGACGAGGGCCGCCCTCCGGCTGCTTCAATTTGCTGCAGACTTCAATTCCGGCCCACGCGTTTAGTATTCAGCATCGGCGAACTAAATTTGGTGCGCCGCGCTACGGGCCCGGCCCACAGAGACTCGTCCGTCTATTTCACACCGCCAATAAGTCACGGAAACACTTTGGAGAAATTGTCTTTCCTTCCCGACCGGTATGCGTTCATCTTCGTTCCGCGACCCAGGATTGCGGCTTCTTACGAGGCACTTGGATACCTTGCTTTGCGTTTAAGCAGAGATTAAATTTACGCGCAGAAAGGTTTGAACGTCTGGCGTAGAACGTGATCAGAATTGTATAACGGTGCCTTAGACACTTGTTATTAATGTTTATTGCGCGCTATATTTTGGAATAAAAAGAATGAATTATTCTGGAACATTTCGACGGCAATAAAAAAGCAATTGCGTGCACGATTCAATTTCTTTTGTTACACCGTGGAGAATATAAAAATACTATATAGTAGAAGAGTGGGCGTATAACCCTGCCATTCGATCAGCCATTCGCGGTGAACACTATCGTCGAAAATACCCTTGGCTGTCGAACAAGAAGAAAATGGCCCCGTTGACGGTGCCCATTGAACGCTGACGAGATAAAGCCCAGGAAAGCAGATTCCGCGTGGTATCTTTACGTAAGGGCTTAAATCTGGTCGACTAGATAGCTCCATTGTGCATCGGAAAATTGCAACGGCCACGCCATTAACCAATGCGCTCGCGAGGTAATTGCCATTTTCTAAGCCCCGGGCACGATCCTTGTTTTCCTCTGCTATCTGTACCAACGATTATGCCGCTTTCGCGTCGATTCGCGAACACCTTGTCCTCCCCTCCCGCGCCACTGTCGCGGGAACTCCCCTAATTGAGATTTTATCGACAGATAAGCTGGACGGATTTTCACCCGGGGTCTCGTCGACGTTTCGTTCGTGTTAATTACGGTGCGGATTGCAATCTGACTCGGCAATGCATAATACGGATTCCGTTTATCAATGTTCCATTTGAATTTCAAAATCCTAGCAAAGTTATAGTAGAAATTATTCCACAACTTCTGCTTATCTAAGAATTTATTTCGTGACATGAAACAAAAGAATGATAGGAATTTGAGTCTCGGGGAGTCCACATTGTTCTCAAGTGAAACTGTCCACAACAGTTAACAAGGTTTTTGAAATCGATGGGCTGTTAAGATTCGAGAGGGCCAGTCCTTTTTTAACGAATCCGAGGATGAAATAAAATCGAGTACGATGCGGTAAATTGCGATCACGTTTGCTCGGTGACGCGCGACCCGCGCGCTCGTCGGAAACCCATAGGACACGCCGCAGCAGCGGCTATAATTGAGATTTTATCGGGCCGTTAAACGCTACGAAGTTCTCGTGCAACACGTGCCAAAGTTTGAACGGCGCCGCGTCGCTTCAACGGTTCTTTGAACATACCCGCGCGTTTCACCGATTTTTAATTGTCGCCTAACTAACCCGTGACGTAGTAACGGATGACGTGCTGTTATGAACTTTTGCAAACAAGGCAACCATCCCGTTTACAAATAAATAAATAAATCAGATTATAGATTTTTTGTTAGACTCTTGATAATCGGCACATTTTCGTATGTTTCATGCATTCTTTATATTTCCTCTATATAAATGCATAAATTCGGTCATCTACTTACAATTTTTGTATTGTATGTATGTACTTTCTTCGTAACTAATACGTACACATTTTCCTATTATAGATTAGTGGACGCAGGGATTTCAACGAACTGCGCGATGATTACTACGCCGGGCTTTTTCAGACAGCGACGAAAAATCGGTGAGTGAAATCTTTTACCGTAAGTTGAGTGAGACCTGCTTTGACGGAACAGAAGGATAATTTTGTAAAAGATTAACTGCTTTTTTCAATTCTAATTTTATTTACAACCCGTTCACGTCTTATACATTATGGTATTTTCACAATTCAACATGATGAGAGTAATTAAACTTAATTGTTTAAGAAAAATAGGAACATTTTGAAGAAGTTATACNAAACTTCACTTTTTTACTTGAATGTTATTCGACACATGAATTATTTGATCAGGAATAATATTAATAAGTTGATAAAATGGTTGCTACAAACGAACTGCATTGAATGCCAAGGCATTTGTGGATACATGGAAAAATATATTGAGTTTACATCTAAAAAGTCCAAGAATACGTAATATGATAACGGAACGTATCAGTAAACCAAACTGCAATAGTTAGTTCGATGCTTCCATTTTTGAAGCAAGAAGTAATTGAATATGACACGGGCATCTCATCGATTTTTCATACAACGTCGACGTATAATTAAGCATTTCTCTTGAATTAGTACGACTTATAAATACAGTCTCTCTCGACGTCGTTAAATTGTACGTATTAAATATAAACACTGTCTCGTCTCTGAGACTGAATTACCGTACCGGAAACAATACTTTCTACTCTAATAATCTTGATGAACGTAGTAAGAATATTATAGTGCCTTTCTCTTTCATGTTCATTCTTTATCTTTAATCATACCAACTAATCAAGTGATGGAGAATCCTACTTACTCATTTTCATCTCGTGATTCATTTCGTGTAATTGAAATTTATCCGTTCTCTTTTACCGGAAGTTGAGTGAGACCTGCTTTGACGGAACAGAAGGATAATTTTGTAAAAGATTAACTGCTTTTTTCAATTCTAATTTTATTTACAACCCGTTCACGTCTTATACATTATGGTATTTTCACAATTCAACATGATGAGAGTAATTAAACTTAATTGTTTAAGAAAAATAGGAACATTTTGAAGAAGTTATACAATCGACGATTTTAGTTTATTCCATATAAAAAATTGTTATGTACCATCTGAGATTTACCAATATTCGTAGGCCATACAATAAAAATGGAACGGAGTGTATAATTAGTGAAGTTACTGTTTATAACAAAGTGTATTGAGCTTATACGAATAATGCTTAGCATCTCTCCTGGAATTTCCCTATATTTCTATAAACATCGTTGAGTGCTTGATTCGTTTTACGCACAAGTATTCTTCATTAACAACTTTGTCAACAGTTACGTCATTGAACGAAGCACATGGTTTTCAGTTTGGATGAATTCGCGTTCGGCACATGCTTATTTGCAGAACCCGTGTACATGTTTAGCTTCTTCGATCGACCAACTATCGACACGGGTTGTTCAATAATATTCCGATGTTTCTCGAGCCATTGTAAACGTTTGCAGCAACATGAATCAACAAGACGGAAAAGAAAAAATCATGGTTGTTTGTCGTGACTCGGCAGACGGTTTCGTCAACAGCTGAGTCAATAGTAGAAAATTGTTGCATTTTTAATTAGATAGCCTCGTAAACATAAATAACGAGAACGAAGTTTTATTTCTTTATTTATTTATTTATTTGTGAAGTTACATTAAGAATGAAGTGTTTAATGATTACTAAAAAACTAAATAGATAATACATAATTCATATTAAGTAAATTAATGTAGATTAAATTACAAGTAATCAAGTAGTTTGATCTATGTGAGAAACTCTAATACTTCATTTATCATTCAAATTAGTATTCACCTTCACTTTGATCTTACAATTTGTTCTTTTATGAACGAATCTTGGACAGCTTAGAAGGATGTATCTTCTGCTCATCGTTGGTTCACAAAATTGCGTGAAGTTTCGTTTCTGATTTCTTCACAATAAGGAACGCTAGCTGCCTCTCGAACTCATTACTAGGAATCCATATTAGTTCTTCCTTTATTTTTAAGATTCATCACAATTTCTTGCATTTATTACATAGAATAGATCCTGAGATCCTTTGCTTATAATTTCTATGACACTATTTAAGACGATGAAGATAGTATAGTCGATAGGAATTGCTTTTTAAGATAAATTAAAACGTTTTTAATGGACTGAATTTTAGAGATAAAATTTGTTACATGATTATGGCTTGAAGAGTGGATTCTCTCACTCGAGGCCGAGTGGTTAAAAGAGATTAAATCTGTTTAAGTTGGGCGGTGTGTAATATACGTAATACCGATGTTTGTACAACGAAGACTGGTGCGGGTATGTTCTATACACCGACTAGCAGCTGTGAATTTCTGCAGTTCTCAAGGCTGTACTTTATCAACCGTGCCACGTATAACTCGATAAACCGAGACCCTAACTCGAATCCTTGGCTGTTAGAATTATCTATGTATATAAGCAAATGACCTACGAGATAACTCGATATTATGGAAAATTCTATATTTGGTCGTCGCACCTCTGCAAATCATTGTACAGATATATTTTACGCTTTCGACTGATCGCTAATTAGAATCTCAGTACTATTAAAAGCGATGACTACAAAGAGCTAACCGCGTGTAAAATTCAGGGGCCTAATGGAATTCAAATATTCATCCGTAGGCAACAAAACGGACTCCGAGTCCATTAGTTGAACAAGAATTTTCTACTCGTTTCGTATTTAATCGAGAAGACACGGGTGCATCGGTGCGGCAATTCCGCCGCAGAACTCTGAGGTTATTCCCTTATCGGCTACGAGAAAATGTAATTTCGCGTGAATAAATATTAGCAGACGGCTGAGACTCTTCTTTTTCCCACCCACTGCTCCTTGATTTTTGATACGAGACTACCGCCAAGAGGTATTGAATGTACAAGGCAACTCGAAATAAACGTACGGAATTTAATTGAAAAATTTCATTATCAACGAGGGAGTAACTACCACCACTATCGGATGTAATCGTCGACCATCTTTTAAGGCCAACTAATTCATACGATCACTTGCAAAACTTGAATCACTTGATTAACGTAAAAGTGTAGGAAATGCTTCTTAGAACGGATACAGATCCCTCTTTACCCTATTTCGATTAATAATAAAGATGATTTCCAAATTAAAAGTTAATAGTGATTGTACTTTCTCCGTTTCCGCACTCGCGCTATGTTTATTTAATAATCAACTGAGGTTATACATTTCATTTGATAGCTGCGTAATGAATCAACGGCTCGTTTGTTTTCTCGCCACTTGTGATTTTCCCCAAATATTTTATTCTGGAAAATAGAAACATGCCATGAAACAAAGATCGCCACTTACCTAACTATTGCTAATTGCAACATATGAAATATAATACCAATTTATCTTCAGTTGAAAACATATCAAAGTGGGTTCGCATGCATCCACCGAAAATTTCGGTTGTACAGTTATGACGTACACATTCGTATATTGAAGCAGCTGTTTCAAAGGCAATTTATTTCAAGTATCCGTACAATCGACGACGCGAGAATATCGAGGATCCATCTTGCCCACAATTCATGATAAAATATTCAAAAGAAAATGTGGAGCAGTGGTGAAACATACGAATAGCGATGAAAGAACTGGCTCAGTTTCAGACATTGTAGTTATACCAGGTCGAACTTTTATCCTTTGGCAATGCTTTCGACTTCGCCGAAGGATACGCCTTTTTCGTGTCTGTCCATAGCCGGACTTAATTCACTGGTCGTTCGCGCACGTTGCGCAGGCATAATTCGCCCCTCGTAGAAGGCACGCCTTTTCGCGATTAATATCGAACAGACCTTCGCGACGTTGCACTGTTTATATGTTCCTTATAATCGCTTCACCGTCTTTCAACACTGATTACCGGCATCATCATCGAGTACGGAAAACTTCATTAACTAGATGGAACTTATTCTTTATGAGACGTATAATTTCGAAATCTCGGCGACATTGAGATTTAGCTACCGTCATGAGAAGTTAGTCCGCGATCAAGCACTAATTTTTTATCAGTCCACAAAATAAATCGTTCTTCTAAATATATGTCAACAGTTAATTGTTTGAAATCATTCCTGAGATAAACATCGACGATTCAAGATCGTATTTAATGTGCGTGAAATTGTTGATAGCACAAAGGTCTATAGATTACAGTTTTATTATGGTAAAAATAAATATTGAAGTAAAAAGCCTTCTAAAATTGTTAAAAACCAGTTCCCGGTATAAGCCGGAGACGTAACGCGCAAAAACATTCCTTCCACGTAGACGCTTTATTAAAAGTCGTGCGACAAAAAGCCCTGATCCTTGCTATCGAAGGATTGTGTTTACGGCTCGTTGAACTGCGGCTCTGAGTTCAAGAAAAATTCTATCTCTTTGAACTTATCTCACCGCGTAGCTGTGTTTCTCGTCCTCTGCTCAGTTCTACGTTCGACCATGAAAAGAACGTTGTTCCTTAGGATGCTCTGCTACCACGTTTCCAGGATTGTTGAGCGAAATGGTTTTACTCCTTTGGGCGAAATATCCAGGAACTTCGCAGCAGGGACATTAACACGTATCAAAACAGACCTTTTCTCATCCGGGGCGATTGCTTGCTCTTGTGATAAAGGCTGTCTCATTCTTGTCTTTATACTTTTGCTTTGTCCTCTGTTCTTGGCAAGCTTAATCTCTTTGTGTCTGCGGATGTAATGGACCGAGTCTTTTGTTACGGAGTCTTCGAAACTTCTTTGAAACATTGTGATATTTTTTTAAAACATCAATCTATTTATATTTTACATTAACCATTAAGAACTGAAACTGCATTTATTAAGTTTTTCTGTACACAGGATTTATCCTTTAGTCATTAATTTCATTATAAATCCTGGCAAATGTACAGTGGAATTTGCCAAACTAGATGGATAAATGTAATGATCTTCATCGTATAATGAATTCATAGACAGCATGTTTCGGTGAAGTAATAAAATAACAAGTTATACTGCACGTACTTTTTATTACCTCGCTCTGTATATACGGACACGTATCTCCATCAATAAAAAATATTAAGTAAAAATA